TTTAATTAAATAGGCACTGTATCTCTGCAGGCTGATTCAAGCTAAGTGTGTACAGGCTCACTTACACAGGGGCAGTACCTCTTCCTTTTTCAATTCCAGGTTTTCCTCACAAACTTCTGGAAGCCCTGTTGTGACTTCAAATGAGGAAAGACCTCAAGGCACACAGGTCCATAACCATAGCTGTCTCCCTTTAGTTCCTTGAGCATGTTAGGCTCTCTCCTACCTCAGATTTGAACATGCAGCTCTTGCCTGACCTACTCAGTACATGCTCAGCTCCTCTGTACCTCTTTGAAAGTCCAATGTCATATAGTGTTGTACAAGGTAAAACTCTGCTTTACAGAGAGAATGTTTACCGAATGTGTTACACTGTCCCCCCCATCAATATGGTTGGGCGAATGAATATTTCTCCAAATGATCTTAAGAATTAGTCATGTTTCTAAAGCAGCTACAACACTATTTTGCACCTGGAGATCAGCTAGAAAAATAGCACGGGATTACAAACAATCACATTAATCAGATGCAAATCTCCAAATGTGAAAATTTCAAAATTGCTGATATTTCTTTAACTTACAATTTCATATCCTCGTTATTCATTTTTCCATATGTCACACTTCAATGTCAACCACTCCCAGATTCATGCATGTGATAAGTGACTCTCTAAAGTGAATAATTTGCTTAAACATCGTATAGCCTCGTGTATAAACCAAGTTTTCAGCACATTTTCTTATGCAATTTTTGTGGTAAAATTCGGTACCTCGGCTGATATTCCGGTCAGCTTATACTTGAGTATATACGGTATCTCTTTTCCCAACTCTCTTTCCACAATGCATTCATTCTTCATTCCTAATTCCTGAACAGCAACAAGCACCATTTTATATTATGTTTCTATACAACTCAAATTGTATTTCAAATGATTTGATTAAAAACTACAAAAGGACTGTTTTCAACAAAAATTTCTTAGAGTGGAACACAAACATTTGTGAAGGGGACATGTTGCACTTAACTTGCACTCACAACTTCAGAGGGGAATAGATCAGTAGGGGAGTTAATCATTAACTAAATTCCACCCCTAGTGGTGGGTGGGCGGGGAGAGGGAAAAAAAGAAGAGCTGATCCCAAGGGCTCAATAGAAAGTAAATGTCTAGAAAAGAATGATGGCAATATATGTACAAATATGTCTGATACAATTGATATATGCATTGTGTAACAAGAGTTGTAAGAGCCACAATAAAATGACCTTAAAGGGGCCGGCCCCAATCCCAACTACTA